ATTTGAACGCTGTTAGGGCTGTTTTGGCTAGCGGGCGAATAATTTTCTCGGTCACGATTTTTTGAATATTTTGTTTGGCACGTTAACGTAGTCCGGCGATTGTTTTGTGCACTCCAAGTCGCGTTGTTTGCACTCGTCGGTTATAGCGTATATTATGACGTCCGCACAATTTTCATATTGGAACAACGCAAAAGGCATTCGCGTGCTTCTTTCTTTATCTTGACTTTTTAAAACTTATTTCGTACATATATATATATATATATATATCGTGAATCGGTAAGGCGCGCCAACGAGTTTATTATTTTTTCTTCACGATTGCTTATTCATTATTTATTTAATCTTCTTTCCTGCTCATAATAGATTTAAAAAATTAGTTCAAGAATTATCATGTGTTAATAGCGTAGCTAAATGTGCATATTCATTAATCTAAATTTTTACATAGCATTGATTGCTTTTTAATTGCCTCGACAATAAGTTTAATAATTGCGATAATCTCTATTTTCCAATTCAAATCGATGACATTGTAGATCAATGTCTCATTTAATTTGTCTTTAGCTATTTAAGTAAAAAGATTTTAAATAAAAGTCGAGTGGTTAAAATATTGCTAATGTATAGATTAGGAAATTAATTTTGTAAGACGATAGATAATTCGAGAATTTGAGGCAGCTAAGATAGACGAGACATATAATTCGTCAACTTATTAATTGATGTAATTTGAAAATTTTTTATTTTATTCCTTATGAGCAAACTTGTATTTCGTCCTGAGAATTAGAAATATATGGTTGAACGAACTCTATTACTTTGCCACTTAATTTTATTCTTTATTATTGTCGGTTGTTGTTGTTGTTGTTGTTACGGTTATTGTTGTTGTTATTGTCGTTGTCGTTGTCGTTGTCGTTGTCGTTGTCGTTGTCGTTTATTAGTAAATTTAACGACCCATTGTATTGTTATGATTTTTCATTTAAATCGCGTTAACTATTTCTATCTTAGTATATTTGACCTTGAGGAATAATAAGCTACACCTTCGAGTTCCACTTGAAATATGCTGCATTTAAAGGAAGACAGATGACGAATATGGCCTACTTGAGAATGTTTTTGATTTTGACTGTGTATCAAGATATACTTTGTGTGCAGAATGGAAAAAATTCGCTTTGCTGACGCATATGTTTGAGCAGTGCATAATACCGATCCACTATTTAGAATTCACATAAGGAAATGTTTATATGATCACGATCTTCGCTTATATATATTTTTTTTTTCATTCTCACGATGCACAAAGTCACTATTACACTTGCTATTTGTAGGACAAACTAGGTGCCTCAATTATTTCCTTCACATTATTTGCCAATAATTATATTTAACGTTTAATTATACCGAGACTTGGTGGGCTTTTTATTGATATTGTGAATAAAAAATGGTTTTTCCAAAGATCGTGCTTGTTTATTTTTTTTTTCTTCTTTTTAACCTTTTTCTTTTTACTAATATTGCAGCATACACATTTCTTATCGTTGCGGCATTCACGTATGGTTTTTCGTTCAAAGTAATTGTAGTGTAATGCAGACGCGCTAAACTTTTATCTTCAAATTTAATATGTTTTTAGGAATATTTGGAGCCGAGTAGTTTTTACGTTAAGCGGTAATTGTAATTTCTAATTTATGAAAAAGGCGCGCTTATTTCGCGGCGTTTAAATCGTATGAAATTCAAGGTTGTTTGATATAAAGTTTTTTTTTTTTTTTTTTTAACGATTTTATAACATAACTTTAAGACGTTTCATAACGAACAGATTGAATTTCGAGATTTAATCGCTAATATGTTTCGACAAGATTTTCTGTAATTCAATATAGCGACAATTTTTTTTATTTTCATTTTTAAACTAACTTTATGACTTAGAACATATTTGACTAAGATATAGGCAAGCGCGGCACGCGATCCAATAATTATTTATAATTATTCCATTAAATGTCTGAAGATATATTAATAATCTTTCATCAAAATTAATATTTTAAGAAAGTCCAGAAATTAAGTATAATTTTCTATCGAATGCTATTTAATCAGCGCAGTCATATATAATTGACATCGTCTAAACATTCGCACATGTGCACAATTTTCTAAAACGCGTAACGTGACAAAAATTTTTGGAAATTTTATAAATAAAGTGTCCCCGTCGCTCATGGAAATTCGATTAAATCGAAGTGAATACACTGCCATATTCGTTACAATATTCGCTACAGATTTATCTACCCAACTACGAGTCTTCGGTAATTCCCGTAGAAATTCATTTCCTTAAACATCGAATATTTATTCCAATTTAATGACCGAATAAATGTAACGATCAACTAACTCGTCCACTAAAAATGCATCGACTCGCATTAATTTATTATTTCGCTTATCGTATTATTATCCTACCATTCGATCGATCGACTATCAGCTTTCCCAGGACCAAGCCGTCATTATCTTCGAATGTCCTTAGGCCGTCGAAATTTATCAACGACATTCGCCATCGCGCCTTAAACGGGCCCGCCGTCAACCTGGCCGAAACGAAAGCGAAAATAATGCCACTATCGTCGTAGTCGGTCGAACCTACGTAAACCAACGGGCCAACAACGTCGACAGTGGCTCAAATCCTCGTAGAACCCGATATTGATTAATTGGCCCATTCGGCTCATCTCGTGGAACCTATAGCAGCAATATCATCGTAGTTATCGTCGTTGTCATCCGCGTCGTTGCTCCCCTCGTCATCTCCTGTCCCAGGCGTCCTGTCGTTTGCGACGAGACGATAAAAGGCAAGGAAAAAGCAACGACTTGTGTAATTGCATTGCGCATGAATATTATAATTCACCGGGTGCACGTGGACCTCGTTATTCTTCGAGAAAACTGCCTTCCATAAGCTGCCAGAGACGACGCCGTCTTTTATCAAAGGATCGTATCCCAGGCCAGGAACTGCCGATGGGTGGCGGAGGGAGGCATTCAGAATTGTAAAAGGATCGGTGCCGCAAGGACGATGGCAATGGGGCGCGCTCGTGAGATTTAAGTATCGAAACGACAAGCTTAAGTGGCTAATGTTTGAGCTTCGGGTATTTCGATGCTATGAGACGTCACTGGCACTGTAGGATGGATTGTTCGCTTGTATTTTAATGACTGATTTACTGTGCCGTTAAAGTGGTAAATTGAAAAATGGGCGTGCGTGCTCGCCAGAAGATTTTGACGGCAGGTAGTGCAATGAACTTGGTTTTATTGTTAAGATTTGGTTGGGGAATTTGAGAAAACCGTGATTAAAGAAAGATAGCCGTAGAGAATGGCGAGAGAGCGTAATTTATTGCACTAGACGCTTAAATTGGGACGGAGGAGCATGAAAAACAATTGGCTTGAAAGTCTGAAAAAAGTATATGATGCCATGAAATATTAATTGTCGTGAATAGAAGCTGGCGATGCGACGAGATTGGTGTAAAGTATAATAATTTTTGGACGGAAGTAGAATATTTGCGAAAAGTAGGACTGTCCGTCGTCTTAGCCGCGATAGCACGTCGAAAACGTGAAATGCTGAAAAACACGAGATTGCACGAGCGCGATAATGCTCGAAAAACATAATAATTGATGCTTGTTAAATGTAGTTTGCTGCGATAAGTGTGTTTGTCTGTTTATGCGTTCGCGCGCGCGCAATCCGGTCTAAGGATGCGCTTGGCCATTAGTTCGTAGACTTTGAGAAGCTTGGAAAGCATCTCCTGCCATCTTCTCTCAGTATCGATATAATCCTTGGATTATATCCCTATCTGGATATACACACAGTCGGCTGCCTGTTCTTTTCTCGCTGATCACGTGTTCATTTCGTGTATCTCTTTTTACCTGGACTATCAAGGCATTAGTCCGAGTCGCATTCGCTTATAGCCTCTGAGCTTTTTCGGCTTTATTGCACTTATTCTGCATTATTATCTTCCGCTTAGTTTTGAGAATTATAGGGTCTGCTTGTAATTTGCGCGTACGTACAAACATCCCGGAAAAAGTAATAATATCTTATAAAGTGCAATTTCATCTTTACGACTTTTTTTTTGGCTGTGCAGAGTAAGGATTTCGTGCAGAATTTAAAATAATAAGATGTGAAAATTGCAATTGCGATGCCTTTGTGCGCGCGTCATTATATTTCAAGACAAAATAATCATAATTACTACCGTATAACATGTCACAATGTCACAATGAGACAGTAATGTTATATTTATTCATGTTCGTTGTTGCATTAATACCGTACCAAAGCCGTATACCCTCATGCTCCAACTAAATATTTCAGTAACAACTCTCCTTTCTTTAATTACATAGTCGGTGAATTATTTTTTATTAATATCTTAATATAAAATTCATTTATTTAGATGAATCGATGTTCTAGCTATCGTGTTTAGATTAATATTATCAGAGATGAATTGGACTACTTGCCAGTAAATGTATTGTGTATGTGTTGGCAATGAAGCAAAAAATGTTAGATAAGTGATGTTAATAATAATAATGAAGACACTGTTTTCATATTAGTGTAACAAATTCATACGAGTGTATATTTTTTATAATATAAAATTTTTTTATATTCAACCATATTTGCGCATACGTGATTCAAAAGTTTAATAAATACAATTAGATCGTCAGAGAAAATAATGTAATATTGAAACGAAGGTAATTTAGCCACCGTAGTCAATGCAATTGGTCTTTCATAAATGATCGCCAAATACAGTGGAACAATCATTTTTATTATACAAACATACAAAGATACATAGTTTTATTCAACACAATGTTTTTCATTATGATAGAAATGTGAAATTTTATTGTAGTTCTATGTCCTTTTAATATATATCTAATAATAATTTTAACTCTCATGTTCAATGAAGATATACTATTAAATTACGAAATTTTAACAAAAATTATAATTCATATGTTAAAATCCTATTTTCCTTTCGTGGAAAATTATAATTTACATTGAACTTTCATATTATATTGTCCTACAAGTACTTAATGTTGCGATTTTTTTTTTTTTTTTTTACAATACGTTCATCATACCAAGGCGAAATTTTTAATACTAATTGTAATACCTAATATTGGCAGAACTCATTATATTATACAGTGACAGGATTGAAGTAAAGAAAGCACGAATAGAAGTAGGATGATGACATGCTTGGGAGAAGAAAGCGGAAGCTCTCGCGCGTACTTGGGAAAGCTGATGATTGTACTTGACGTCACTCTTTGCTTCTTCACATCGTCTCGAGAACAACTTTTCTTACGCATGGTTTCATTTCTTTTTTTTTTTCTTTTCTTTTTCTTACTTTTTTCTTCCCCTACCATACATATACCTGTGCACTGTTCTTATTTTAAGTCTTCGTTCAAATTACTCATAGTCCACGTTCTGAGGGCAGAGTGAACGTGTAGCTTTACTGTATTGCACATGGCAGTCTGAACAATTTCAGAAGCTGAGCACGAAGGGATCGTAGTTATCTAATTTTGTTTATATAATTAAGAAACTGGAGTTCGTACATTTGACCTAAATTTCTTCCTATAGTCCGGAGCAACGTCTTTTCTCGTCGACTTTGTCGTCTTGTGAATCAGGTAATGCGAAGCATGAAAAAAAAGAAAAAGGAATTCATAATTGATTTCTCTTTGTGTTACGTTTTATCGAACTCTTGTGTTCATTATTTTTACTTCTCGTGTGAGTCTGACAACAGTTATTTAAAAAATGTTTCCGCTCCATGTTTTTACCGTATAATGTCTTGCTGTTTGAAACATTATAACCTTTTTTTCTTGTACTTTTTCTGCGTATATTTTCAGTTGGCGGATCAGCATTAAAATTTTTATTGGCAATGTGCAAACGATAAATAATAGGAGAACATGAATATTTATGGCCGGTTAATGCAATTTTATTCAGTCATTTAATAAATTAATTTCATTAAAAAAAAAAAAAAAAAAAAAAAAAAAAAGAAGAATATTAGCATATTTTTTATACACATTTCTTAATCTTCAAGAATTGAGTGTAGTTATTTTTAAAATTTTCAGATTTTAATGTAAAGAATTTGAACTTTAAAGTACGGTTGAATAATTAATAATTAATTATATTCTTGATCCAACAGCTCGCAATTATTTTATCCAATGAAAAATTAGAAATCAAGAATTGTTCAATTAAAATGTTTTAATCGTAAATATGTAGTAACATTGTTTTTTTAATATACGAGTTATGTGTTTATTCACATAAAATCGAAAACAAATAATTGTTTAAAATGAACTTTAAATCGTAATCTACCGTATCTATTCAAAAGATTTCAAGTGAATGTTATGTAATAATATTGACTGAGCAAGAAAGTTTATTTATTTAATGTCAAATGAAATCATTTTTAAATACCACTTTCTATATATATATATATATATATATATATATATATATATATATATATTTATTTATTTATATATTTCAAATTTTATTAATAATACCTCAAGGGAGGATATATTAAAAGTTTTAAAACTGAAATTACACAATTTCATTTTCATAAACTTTGTAATGTCATGGCTATAATTTTTAAATTATAAATCATCGTCTTTTATATTTCAGAAAAGAAATTTTTAATTCAATACAACAATAATTAATAAGATGCTTTTATAAAATTACAAAAAAATAATTATACAAATTAATTTGAATATGTAATTTTATTATTTTAATTGATAAAAAAATAGCCATTTCTTATTTATAATTAATGTTTAAGAACTACGTTGTAATATGTTTATGACATTGATAATAAATTGGGTTTAATGGCTTTTAAATGTACTTGATGTGGCCATTAAGCCATCATCTATTACTTATTACTGCAATACAGATTTTGGTAAAATTTTGTACATACCACTGTATAATATTTCTGAAATTATTGTATACAGTTTAATTACTAAATGATCCTGAAAAAGTAAAAATTTTACATTTAGAAGGATTAATTAATGCCATTTATTATCTTTCTATTTGGTCTGTTCAAATCACAATAACATTATCATTAAATTTAATGCATTGCTTGAAGCTTATAGTGAAATTTAATTGTTGTCTTGTCGCGATACAATTAAATATACAGCTGTACACTATGAAATTGAAGACATAATTATTTCCGATTCATGAACCACTGCAAGAAAAACTAAAATAATACACAATTGTTCAAACAAAGCCAATAGTTAGTAACGATAATACGCCATTGTAATAAGTCATATGGGTTAACTTATTAAGCAAGAAATGAAAGGTACGAGTCGATGATGCAAGAAATATTCGCGCATGTACAACGTTTTACGAGAACAAGGATGCATAACCCGCCTGTACTGATTTTGTGAAATTGCATTTCAGGAACATGATGGTTTTGCGAGTCCATGGGGACGATTTAATGTTTGGCGGCACGGGAGGAGTTCTGACCCATTCGCCTCGAATTCCGCAAATGAAAATGATGAAGGTCCATATACCCTTCACCTTCAAACTTCACGAGAGCTTCAAAAGCACTTATGCCGGTGAGTATGCTGTCTTTTAATAGTATTTACGGGGAGATGAAAAAATAATGCGTCTCAGGCAAGTTACTCATCCGCAATTGTGATCCGTATTGTGATGCATTTTGAATTTACTTCACCACATAAAAGCCGTTTATGCAGGGAATAAATAGTGCGTAAAAAAAAAAAAAAAAATAATGCATATTCATGATAAAGTAAGAAGAAAAAATAAAGAAGAAGAAAGTTTAACCAAGAAGTATACCAAGTCTAACAAAGACCATGATAAAAGATGATAAAAGATGTATCTAAATATTCAGGGCGTATTTTATGTTAATTTTTAAATATCATTTACTGTAAATTTAACAAATATTTAAAACAAAAATTATAATGTTCGTTTAAATAGTTCGTCTAATAGTGCCCTTGTATTTTCAATTTATTCAAATATGTAAATTTAATAAATGTAAAATGCGAATTACATACACAAGATTAAACGCACGTTAAATATAAATTATAAAATAAATAGTAAATTTATCAACTATTTATTTCAATTGAAATCAATAGTAATATTTAGTGACTTTCTCGCAATTAATCAAACATGTTAAAATTAATCAAATGGTTTATAGTTAATTAATGTATTTTATATAGTTGATAATTTGCTAAGGAATAGATGTACGTAAAAACGTATTAAGACATATTTTCTTTGCAAATAGCATTATTGAAATATAAATCTTTTTACCGAACTCGTAAGATCTCGTTAATCCAAGTAGGGCAAATACTTTTTATACCAGCAGTGGTCTATTCCGTAAATCAATAGATTCTTTCACTTTATTTTAACATGGCTTTATAAAAGTCTTTTATGCGACTTAAAAAGCAAATATAACACGTCAAGTAGAGATTGTTTAGCAGCTCCAGTCATAAGAGCCTTTCCCTCGTAGGTGCGTGAATTTTTTTTTATAAGGCATCCAACTACCGTGGCACACTTGAATTAATAGTGCATTTTATTTGGTAAGTGCGTACGTGACTTTGATCACGTACGCTCAAATTTTCTACAACTTGCGAATTAAGTTTTCACAATTAAGAATGCAAAAAAAAAAAAAAAACGAATTTAATGACCGTTATCATTTTTTAGATATAATAAGTTACTTAAGAATTGCGAGATTAGTTACATTGGAAATTTTAGAGAACAATTACATGCAATTATTATTTACAACAGCCGATGTCATAATATACATGATTTTTTTTTCTGTCCTGATAATATTTGACTATTGCGACAGGATTGTCCGACGATATGCACGAGTGCATTACTTTCTTCAATGATTTGAACCTGTCATCGTACGTACAAGCGCTACTGCGCATTGAATGAATGGCGTTTTGTCAGTTTAGAGATGTACTTTATCGTCTATTATTTGTTTAACAATACTTGAACTAAGAGATGGAAACATTATACGCACGATTGAATATGTAGATAAATTTCTTTGAACTTTAAATTAATTGCTATTGAAAAGAGATTAGCTTCAATATCTCAATTCCAACTAACAATGCCAGTATATTTAATTTCCACATTATATTTTTGCTATACTTCATTTAAGTCTAGCATATATGCAATTTTTTAATCAATTCAGTCGCATTTATATTTGGCATTAAGAAGGAAATTTTCATTTTTAAGCTAATCGTAGGTTCAGAGTAATAGCTTTCACTCGTTATAAAATGTTTGGCATTATATTTTTTTTTTGCTTCGAGACCCAAGTGACCCATCATAATATTACATAAAGTTTTTGTTGCTACATTTGACTACATTCTTCCAGACGCTAGAAAATAACTTTAAATTCATGGTTATTAGTTGTTTGATGATGTGATGCTTTGCTTTTTTAACGTGTGAATTAAAAATAAATTTACATTAGTTAAAGCAGTATTCTGCAAAAACTTTCAGTTAAACATTATTCCATTATTGCGATAAAAAATAATTCTACTCTATCTCTAATGTATATATAGTAAGTAACCTTTCTTATCTTACCTATAAGCATTGTTTATTATTATTGGGATTCAGAAATATTATTTTTAATCTTATTCGATAAAGCTTTGTTCGTAGAATACGGTGTTCAATACTAATTTTTCATTTTTCATGATAACGTATTTATTGATCGTTCAACGTAAGCCGTTGAGAGATTATTTTTTTGAAAACGTCGCTAAGAATTTACTAACAAAATGCATTGTTGAATTTTCGAGCAAATATACATTCCTTAATTTGCATAAATGAAATCTCTCATCAACAAGCGTGAAATGCAAAGAAAATCAATCTACCGCGTCGCGCCCCGAGCGCCCCGGGTACGGAATTTTGTCTCATAGTCCGAAGTTCATCGTCTTGGTGATCACGTACGTGATCTCCGCGAGTTTACGTAAGTTATTAACGCAGAGCGACAAGAGCGTTGCTGTCGCGTTACCTTTCCAGTTAACGCATGGATTTCGACATTTTCCACGAGACTTGCGGAAAGCCGGCGGGGCCCCTATTTCGCGTAATTTTCGCGGCTCCCTGCTGTTGGTTTCTGTTGTACTTTCAACATTGTAACTCCTCGACGATTCAACGATTGTGAATCATTGTTGAGATTATCTGATAATGAAACGTAGTTTATCAAAATTAATTGCAATTCGGATTAATGATTTGTGGTTCGCGATATTTTATATTGCATGAAGCGAACTGGCGCGTATTCTAACGTTTTCCTTTGCTTTATAAAAATATACGCAAGCGGGAAATTAAATGCACATTATGACGAATTAGAATTTCCAGTCTTGAAGTTGCCAACCGAAAATATTTTTCTTGGCTAAATGTTGTAGTACGTACAGATATTCAACTACGAGATTCCAAAAGTACGGCTAGATCCGATGTCTTTCGATGTTTCATTGGTTCGCAATGATATTGTCAATAATCATGAGAAAATAATCGACATTTGGCCGTCGTTTTGCAAAGAATTTTATCTTTGCGGCTTCATAAAGAGTATAACTATAACTATCTAATTTTCTGGATATTTAAGAGTTGTTTGTAAAAGAAAGATGAAAAAGTAAGGGTTATTATTATTCTTAAATAATCTACGTGACATTGTATTTTAATAATTATTTGAACATTTGTTTAAACCAACATTCGGACTCATTGAACTCGATTAGTTGATCCGAACTGTTGTTTTACGATACTTTTACTATTCTATATATAAAATAGAATTGAGTTGGTTTAAAAAAAAAAAGGAAAAATTTACATACAAGAAAATTAAGCATCGTTACTTTGTTCTTTTACCAACCACAAAGCATTAAAATCGGTCTTTATTGTTTTCTGTTCCATGTCAATCAAGTAAAAGTTGCAAATGTAATATTCTTTCTTAATTCACAAATATTATTAACAATAATACGAGTAACTTAACAAACTGTCGATCATGTGAATAGAATATTAATTATTATGATAAGAATAAGTAATTTATCAGATGAAATATTAAAAACTAATGACGCAGCATTAATTTTATTTTCTTTTTCAAACGTCAATAACTGTCGGATATTAGTGACGGAAGCTGTAATATATTCGTGGAGGTAAAGGTGTTTTTATAGACAATACATTGGTGTCAAATTATAGTTTAAAAATAAATTTATATTTCCATTAATATGTATCATTCTATTTCTAGTTATTACATTTACTTTTCAATAATTCCAAATATCAAAAATTTTAAAAATAAATTTTCCTCAGAGTTAATCAATTTACTTAAACGGAATTGACTGAGTGTTGTTATATAAATAACAGTAAGCCAATTAAAATAACAGGACAACTAAAAAAAGGAAAAAACTGTTATTTGTACCAAATTCTTATATGTCTATAAAATTATACTCAAGGTCTAAGTCATTTTATGCTAAAGTAAGCATTTAAAATTTTAATACACCATATATATATATATATATATATATATATATATATATATATATTAATACACATAAACTAAAAGGAAAAAAGTAATTTGTAGTTGGTAAAGATTATTCCACAAGCTTTTATCAATTTTTTTGTCAGTCAAATATTGTAATTTTTTTTTTAATACTTCGCTATTAGATGTATATAAATTATAAACATAAATTTATTCAGAATATATAAAAAAAACTATTAATAGTTTATAATTGTATATTAATCCATACTTATTTACTTTATATAGTACACTGCGAGTAATTATTGGAAATCATTATTTTTCTCAGCTTCGTGTCTTCGTGGAAAATCGGTAAACTTTTATATAGTAAAATATATACTTAGCCAATAAAGTTTTTTATCATAATTAATTGTAATAAAAAATAAAGTTATTTTTTTTGTAATAAGAACTTATATCTGAACTTAGATATGAGTAGCGAATGAAATTTTTTTTTATTTATTTATAATAAATTTCAATGCCACTTTAATTATAAAATATAATTTAATTATTAATGCTTAATATAAATGGAAACTACTATAATCTCGAATTTATTATTAAAAGATGTTAAGATATCAATGAATATTCATAACTTTGAATTTAAAGTTTACTTTTCAATATATTTTTATCAATATAATAGATAAAATTGAAAATCATTTTTTTAAACTCAATATTAATAAGATCCGCATGACATTGATACAAATGGACATATTTTATATAATTAATTTTGAATTTTATATATTTTATCAATTGTATGATAATTATAATTAATGACATACATTTGATCCGACGGTTTATCGATACTTATCACTTTTATTATATTCGAAAAAATTTATTAGTTTATCAGATTCGAAGTACACTTATACTTTAATTTTTAATTTAATATTACATTACATTGATATCAATTATATCGGATGATAATTGGCCTTTTTTAAATAATTTTTCAATCGCATAATTATAATCTTTCCTTTTACTTCCATCGTGGCTTGCTTATCGTAATATTTAAATACTTTTACAATGTTTCAAGGTAAATAGCGTGAGTCGATATTATAAATGATAATTATATTTCCATTACTTTCTTGAATATTTTATATA